TAAAGAGTCGTATAAGCTGTAACTTCTTAAACGAGGTTGCTTCATAAAAGGCAACCCAAACGGTTGATTTATCCCAGCAATGCCTCGAAAGTCTATTTTCACTTGGAAACATATTGCTATCTACATTTCCAAGAAAAGCTACTGCTTGACATCAGGCTGTCCGAGGCAGGATCAAACCTGGAACGTATGATTGAAATCACCAAAGCTCTAACCACTAAACCACGGGCAGGCCCTATATTTTGAATCCAATTTTTCACAGGTCATTGACTCAGGTACAAGTGTAGAAAACAACGTATTGATACTCTGTTGTAAATACTGATTTAAATTATTTAAATTGGTAATAAAATACATAATAAATATACAATTACATAACAGTTAATTGTCTATTCTCATCAGGTCAAAGCTAAAAGAAAATTTAACCTAGATATATGTTTTATAGAAGAAAGAGCTCAGAAGTGTTACGAAATGAAAAACGAAAGTATAAAATCATTCTGTAACAGCATGTCAGGAAATGCGTCAATTGAACAAAATACAATTTTGTTTTCGCACAATTAAAAGTCGTTTATGGTTACAATTGTTTATACACGCATTGTATATTATATAATTGTTTATATGTAATATGGATAGATATCATCTGCAAATTATGGTAGCCCTTTTCCTCATAAATTAACCAACTAAATTATGTTGTGGTCGACATTAGTGAAGCGATACAATAATTATATTAGACTCGTACTCTGTACTGAAATGTTGTATGGTCTTTTTTTTGAAATTCAAAAAAAGATGTGAATAACTTTGTATTTAAATCAAAGTTTACGTAATATTTTTCAGAAAAATCTGTGGAATGGCTAAGATACATACATTTGATTTTTTTATAATAAATCAAAAGTAGTATATATAAAATACTAATATTTAAATAAATTAAAATTGTTAAAAAATCTAAATGAATTAATCATTTAGAGATATAGCATAAGATAATATGTACAATAATTACACAGTCTCTATTAAAACCTAATATTTTGAATATAGTTCTTATAATAGCATAAAATATTTTTCGATATAACTCTTTTAACAATTATTATAATTGATTATTCATTCAAAATATGAGACAACATATAAAATATGGGCTGTATCAGAATTGAATTTCATTCTAATTATATATTATAAGTAGAATTACTGTCGTTTAGTATTATCAACTTTTTGTAAAAACAGTTAAAATCAAAATTAACCTGATTCCGGCCAATAATGGCCCGATTCTGCCGTAAAATAGACCAATGTTACGTTCTAGTTTTCATACAAAATGCTACTATATACTGCCAAAACGCTATGTAATAGCTGTGCGATCAGGAAAACTGCTCATAACATAGCCTTGCCATAACATTGGTCTATTACGGCAGAATCGGCCCCATTCTGCCCGATTTGATAGTCTTATAGAAACGATGCATTCTGATTGTCTACTTAAATAAATAAAAAATAATTATTTGAATATAATTTTATATGAAGCATAATTTTATGTTATTCAATGTTTCTTCTTCCTTTAACTTATTTAAAATTAAAAGAGTCTATTTGGGACATTTGTATGAAATTAATTAGGCTATAACATGGTCTAATAATGTAAGATCCTACAACAACTTGATATACCTATAAATGAAAAAAATCTAGATGACTTACGGCAAGAGTAAATTTTGTTTGAATCTAAATTCAATCTGTAATACTTTCTTGTAAGAAATTGTTGCATCAAAAACATGTCCATACTATTCTTTTAACACCAATTTTCCATATTTTTCTCAAAACTTCTGAACCTTTTTTTTCATTACATGAAACTATTACAAATTCAAAAGAAAAGAAACATATTGTATAAAAAACAATTACGCATTCTGTCTTTGCTCTTTATTACACTTGGTGTCTGTTTTGCATACATAATATTTATAGATTCAACAAATGGGTTTAGAAAATTGTTATCGATTATTTATCTACATTTAAACAATTTATATACAGGAAAAGAAGGCTCAGAATTGTTTACATTTTACTACTTTCCTTGCTGAAAATACTAAAGTAGTAAGCATATAACATTTTCTAAAATAGCATGATGTAAAAACAAAGTGATTTGAAATTATTCTTAGATAGTATATTTGCTAATTAAATATAAAATATACGATATTTATAGCATTTTTTCAAGAATGCCCTGTTAAATCTAGAAAATAAAAAACGAAAAAATTTTTATATTTCATAATCATTTTATCTATCAAAAATTGAGGTCCTATCAACAAAAGCATAGCGTTTGGACTCTTTTTAGTACCAAGAATAAAGCATAACGTGGCGTTGCCATAACAACGCTATGTTAATATCTATTTTGCCGGATAATGGGCCCCTTGTTCTGGAACTCTCAGAGTATTTACATAGCTTTATAACGTGAATAGACCACATAAAATTGAACTATATTCTAAGTATTAAATTAAACAATATTTCAAAATTTTAAATTGTTTTTTTTTAACAAACGCAACGAAATTTAAAATAACGTAAACATTATTTAAATACCATGGTTAATTATTTGTAATAGAAGTACTTAATATTAGTTAGGTTTATTTATAATGGACTTACTATTGAATAATTTATATGTATTATAATTAAATGAAGTCTACTATCAGCATTCAATTACAAAATACAATCTTAAATTAATATTCACTAAGGCATTGATAACTATAAGTATGAACATATATGTATATAAGTTTATGTTTATTACTTACTGTATATGTTCAATTGTGAATATATATGAGAACATTAACAAATGCCTATTATCTATTCGAAAACTGTTCAACAAGACTTTTACTTAAAACGTGCTCTAAATTTATTATCTTCGAGCATAAAAGGTACAGTATACTATACGCATATATATTAAATAATTTAAAATTATCACTAAAAAAACTAAATTAAAAATAATGTGTAATCAAAAAATATGCTGATGAATTTTTTAAAACCAGCTTACAAATCAATGTAAAAAATATGAAACATTCTATGTCTAATTTTTATGTTATCCATTATTTATGGTTGATAATTTTATAAATATTTTAATTGTATACATGTAAATTTTTAACATTAGTTTTTGCCTGTATAATGTTGTTGTTGATTAACACAAAATTATATTTCGTTTTTTTTCCACCGAAGAATAAATTAAGACTTGAAACAATAGTTATTAATTTTTGGTAAATGCAAAATTAGGTTTTATTTTTAAAAGATCAAAATCTTTTTTGCTTTTTATTTGGAAAATGTGTTTACAGTTCATTATACACGTGAAAAAACAAGAAGTTGGAGATTATTTAAATACATAAGAGGGATATGCATTGTTCCAAAATTTTATTGGAAAATAATATAAACGCTTTCTATTTTCATTCGTTATAGACGATAAATCGAATTGATTAAGATTTGTAATAAACTTTGTAAACGCAAAATGCTAAATATCTCACATTAGAGACCGAAGAAAATTGATTGGAGAAGTATAGGTTAGAACGGGGCTTAAAGGTCTGTGGGTACAAAAGTCCACCACCGATATTTCAAAAACAAGTAAAGTTAATATTTTTTAACAACAATATTTGAAAGTAGAGGGAAAAAGACGACGATGCTATTGGGAGATAATTGGCAATGTTTGAAAATCTGTTGTTTAGTTTACGATACATTAATATAATTCAAATATACTCTTTAGTTAATTATTTTATTAGGTATATTGCTAATTTTAAATTAGATTCAACAGTTGTTTTAAATAACCTCTTAAAATAAAAGCTTTGAGTGAAATAGAAAGATCCAAATAAACTTTTACCCAGGTGTTTAAACAATAAAAAATAGTAAATGAAAAAGAAAATCAAATAAAAAAGTAATAAATAGCTATTCCAAAGCTCGTGATCAATATTTTGACTTAATGCATGATCAGGGTTATGTGATCTGTATCATCTTTGTAAAAAATAAACCAATAAAATTTATATTATGCATTGGTTGAATAATGTAGGTAGTATTTCGTAAAGTCCTTTTAAAATTAGAAATAAAGATATTGGATTTGTTTGTCCCTGGCAAAATTTTATCCCGCCTTTGGGGTAAGAAAGGACAAATGACAAATTTCAGAAAAATAGTAAAAAACACAATTCATTTATAAGAAATTGACTGGAAATGTCACTGGACATAGTTTGATACGTTTCATGTGTTGCCATATAGTTCATTTAGTTTAAAACAGTATGATTGCTTAAAGTCAAATTGGACCTTTGTGCCTCGCCCAACGACATTTATATATAATAATAATAATGGGTAGTACTGCCCTAAGACAGGTCTGTTAGCTGAGTTAAACTCAAACTCGATTCAGAAAAGAAGTAGTGTGATAGTTTTTCCCATTTCCATTTCACATCACAATGCTCGAGATGGGCTTCATTTGGAAACATATTTTGATCTATATTTTCAATTGAAAATAGTCATAGCGCTGCCCGATGGCAAATTGCAAGAGCTATATATATATATATATATATATTCAATATGTAAATATATTCACATACAAATAAAATCGGAATACACATGTGTAACATTATATTAGCACATTGGCATAATTGAAAATCTTGAATAAAAATAATTGTCGAAAGCTAAAATTTAATGATCCCATAGTCAATAAAAAAACTGGCAAATTTTTTCTTTTCACACACGTACTTATACGTAACCATAAAAAATCTATATGAGAGAGATTTATATATGTATATGAAGAACGAGAGAGATGGAGATTTTATATGGATTTATGTCGTAGTATTATTTACAAATAAGAGTTAGCTCTGTACACTAATATTATCTTTAATGAAGCAGAAAAAAGTATCCGATCGCTGAAATCCATTTGCATACTGTCATTGTGGTAAGACAAGAGTCAAGACAAGAAGAGAAGAACAGATGATGAGGTTCACAATGATGTAAAAATAACAGTCACTTTCGTTTTTGTACTTTCTTCGATCGAGCCGTGGATGCGGCTGTATAATATAATGGATAATGTAATATCATGGGATCCTACGGTCGGTCAGCCCGAGACCCTCGAAGCACCTTTTACTTATATAAAATATAATTGGTACAAGGTACATGATCAAATTTACATTATCATCATTGGTATTAAATATTATGCCTAAAGGTTGATCCGTAACATGAAGAGCTATTTATACTAGAATATATGCGGCACTCACTTCCTCATTTATTCGCCCTTTTCTGAATTTATTTTTGGATTTAGTCATAACACTTTCAACGCCAATCCAATTCAAGCTAATTTTAGGTAATTATTTTCCATTTCCTTTTCACACGACTGGGCCAAATAACGTATCCTGACTTTTTGGAGCTTCATAAATTTCTTAAGAGTTTTTTTCCTCAATTTCAGACTATAAAATATATAATTTCAAACACTTCACATTTTTTACCTGCCCGATGAAAACGTTTGGTTTTGACAGAAGCCCAAAAGTTGGATATCAAAATTGGATAGAGTTTATCGCTAGAAAATCCGATTTGCTTATTTTAATTCTTCTCAACGTTTCAAGTCTTTCTGAATCGTTCGACATTATAAATGATAATTAACAGTTAAGTGCAAAAATTTTCGTCTCAGTTTTCAAAAAAAATCCTGAATCGATTATAAAAATTCCAACATTTTTAGAATGATATCAGTTGAAAATCGTTCTAATTAGTTCTTGGTAAAGATTCTTGAGGTTGGATAGTAATAGAGTTCATGATTGAACGAACATCTTAAGATATTGTAAGCATAGAAAAGTGGTTAATTTATGATTATTATTAATGTTTGAGATGATGGGCTGTGTCAAATGATCAACTTCTATTCGATTTTAAAAGTTATGACCAAGTTTAGAGTAAAAAGTTGAAAAAAAGAGTTATCTCATTAGAGATAAACTCTTCAAATCCATAAAGACCAACACATTTAACACGGTTTAAAAGGGTGTTCCTTAAACTCTTCAAAGCCATAAAAATTAAGTTGATCCTTAATATGGATGTTTTCGAATTTTCTTGCTCCCAAGGGCTCAAATGTTTCGACAATGATAAAAAAAATCTCTAAAAGCTTTAACTCTTAATATTAACGTTAAGATACTCCGCACTCCAACCAAAGTTTCTATGGAAATAACATGGGTAAGATTCAATTTGTTTTATAACTTAGCGACAAGTGAATCAAAATTTTGAGAATAATATTGTATTTGCGTTTTTGATCATAAAGAAGCTTTAGTTGGAGTATGGACTATGTGGAAGTTAATATTAAGAGCTAAAACTTTCAGAGATTTTTTTTATCAATTTAGAAGCATTTAAGCCTCTGGGAGCTAAGAGATTCTAAAACATCCATATTAAATTAAAGCTGCTAAGTTCAATTCGCAGGATTTTTTAACTTGCTTTAAGACAAAATTCCATTATACCCATTTTGAATTTTATAATTTTACAGACATAAATTAATAACATTTCAAAATGATGTTTCATCTGCTTGCAAATTTCCTACTTAAAGAAACAATAAGTTTATTTAAAATAAAACTTTTCCAAAATGTATTCCTCTGGTATCAAATAAATTAACTTATCTTTTTTTTCACTGATAGGAATAATTGAAGAAAAATCGATGTGAACTGTAGTTTTTTATTATACTGGAGATAAAATAAAACTGTTATTAATTTGAATTTGAGTTATGAGTTCTTCAAATCAATAATTCACTATTGACTAATAATAATAATAATAATACACTAATATAAATCATTAACTCAAAATTACAATTGGATGAATCGGCATTTATATAATTTTTCCATTGTATTGATTAATGACTTGCCACTCAAAATTGTGTTCGCAATATATAAATCTCACTCCTTGATATAGTTTTATATTTTCATAACTATAGAGTAGAAAAGCTACAAGAAATATATATTTCTCGCAGTGATTCTATAAAATCAACAAATAGGTCAAAGTTCGACATTTATTTACTCTTGTAATGATAAAAATTATACATTTAATTTAAGGATGTATTTTTAGTTTAAAACAGGGCTTCTTATTATGTCTTAAATGGAGTCGCGTGAGATAATTCTGGGGTCGCGAAAGATTTTAATGACAAATATACTTATCATTTTCTCGAATTCTCAAACTATATATTTTCATGTGGGGTCGTCAAGGAACCAGCAGTCATAAGTGGGGTCGCCAAGAAACTCGTAACAAATACTACGAAACCATACCTAATATACGTGACTATTAATAAATCGATAAACAGTAATTTTATTTGTCAAAAAACAGATTATCCACGCTGTAGAACGTCTTCCTAGTTAAAAAACCAGAATATTGTTCACTACCGTGGCAGAAAATTGAAAGTCAATTTGCTCACTCGAGAGTTTCCTTGAAAGGTCGCGACCTTCAAGGAATACCTAAATAATAGGTTTTTAGAATAAACAAGGTAACAAACTAATACCATAAATTAAGTCGATATAATTTGTAGTTAACAAATTATTATATAAAAGTATTCAACAATGGCTGAATGATTAGATTTATATGTTTGTAAAAAACATGCACTGTATTACTGATCTTTGACACTGTTTTATAAAATTGACTTTTTTTATAAAAATATCGAAACATGTCATATATACAATGAAAGTATCTTTTTCAAAGAAATATTGTGATTTCATTTCTCTTCAATTAAATGGTTTTTGAAAAAGCTACCCGATGGTCTCCTTCATCTATTTGATATGTTTTATTTGAAAGTAACCCAGTGGATGTCTTTTCTAGTAATGATGACATTTTAACTTACTGCAGTATTATAGAAAAAATATTTTTACTTGGAATATCAAAATGTAATTACTACTGCCTGATATGACGTTGTCTAAAATTTCGATTTGAAACCATGACTTTATATGACTACGAAATATCAGAACATGCACCGTAAATTGGGTAGTTTTTGAGAACAAAAAAATGACAAAACCATATTTCATACAACAGTAAGTCAGTACCAAATATAAACAAGTACAAAACAACTACGAAGTCTTCTTATAGATTCGAAATATTTTGTGCATCATTTTATAATTTATTTTAAAAAATGCATTTTAAAAATATAAACATCCTAATTATGCGTTTATTAACAATGAGAAATTTTAAAAAATATTCAGAGTTTAAAATAAAATGCTAAAGTAAAAAAGTATATCGTAATATTAAATATGGGCTTTACAAAACATAAATTTATTCGCCTTCTTAATTTCTCGAAGGAGAAGTTCTTTTTTCGTCCATTAATCCGATTTGCTAGTTTTCGATTCAAATGAGACCAAATTTAGAAAAAGTATATTATGTGTGTGTGAGCCAATTTTTGACGATTTGAAAAAAGTAAAAGCAGTCTACAAAACATCTGTAGTTGTGTGTTAAACAATTATTTTAAATGAATATCACAGACATGATATACGTAAACTTTTATCGAAATATCTAAATCTCGATTTCGGTTACCTTAAGATAAAATGCCACTTTTAACTAGTTGTAAAAGCCTTTTCAATGATTTCACAACATATCCAAATTTGTTCTATTACTTTTTAATTTTACATAATATACCTTTTCGCTTACTTACATTCATATATCTATTCCAAGAATTGTAATACTACACTAATAAATCAACTAAAATTGTTATCAACGGTAGATAAAAATAGTTCCAAATTAATGGTATGTAACGCTTTCATTATTGCTCCCAAAAAGAAAGAAGAAATGTAGGTGTAGGTATAATAAAACACGTTTTAGCAATAAATATAGATTTTCGAAAAATTATTACCCTATTATATTACCCTATTACCATATTTCGAAAATATTATTAGAATATTTTTGTTTTTAATCCAAACTGCATCACACCTGATAGCACTTGTACTGCATGCCAGTAAACTCAGAACTGAACTAGTAGTGCATAGCATCGTGCCTTAAGGCAAATTGCTGGAACTTCCCGTACCGAAAACTAAATTATTAAAAAAAAATGCAAAAATTTGATTTTTGAGAAATTTTGAAATTTTTGAAAACAATGATTTTTTTGAAAAATTTGATTTTTTAATATTTTGATTTATTTTGTATTTTGATTTTTATTTAAAAATGTTGAACATTTTTTAAGCAAAGCGCGTAAGCGCTGCGTAGTCGCCTGTAGAGTAAACATTGGTACGGAACCCATATAAAGGTACACAAAATTTGTCCTTATTATTATAATCTTTATAAAATAGCTGATAATACGATGTGCATATGTCTAATGTTCATTTTTGACCGCCAAATAGCACTGTTTTTTACTTTTTTTATTGGATCCACGGAGACACTGGACCTACCTTTTACCATTTGTTCATTCCGTCAATACAAGTAAAATGTTTTTTGAATTATTTAAATCTATGCATTTCTTTGAGTATTCAAAAAACAAATTTAACCAACTATTAAAAATATAATAGGATTTTAGTTATTTAGGATAACATATATAAAAAATATCGTTTAGTAAAACTTCTGAAAAAAAACCCTTAGTGTGTTATTAGCATTTTTTTAGTAAGATAGAAAGTTTTTTGGTAAGAAAATATAAAGTGAGTGTGGTAGATTACCAAAAACTAACGTTTAGTTAAATTTTATATATTTCATTTATTTTTAAATTTATTGCTTTAATACATTTGAGAAATCAACTTTTGCAGAGTTAAAGATAAAATTAAATTATCATGCAACGGCTTGGAAGATTAAATTTAGTTTAAGGCATCTGTATTAAATACAAAGAATATTTATAATCTTGCTAATTACAAATATTCTGAAACAAATCGTTAGACTGTTGCCGCTTCCATCAAATGTCTGTACAATACATCAGATTTTCAATTAAATTGAACTTAATAGAACCATAAAACCATTAAGTTAGCTATTAAATTTAAATCATTTTAATGACTGAAAGTTTCTTAATGAATGATAAAAATTGTAAAAATCTCTGAGCTGTTATAAAAAACTAATATTGTTTCAAAATAATACACACACCATTAAAAGTATATATTGTAAAACAATAATAAAGTAAGTGTTTCATAAAAAGAAAATCACTTGAAGTTCTAATGACACTTTGATTTAGTGTAACGTAATCTTCTAATAC